GTCAAGCATCGTAAACCGAACGGGAACATTCCAACGGGACGGAGGGTGTAACTTTTAACCAAACGTACGTAACTTGTGATCTCACACGCTGAATTGTGTAATTATAAAAAAAAGTAAGATTGAAGTTACTTTTCTGGCTGTATTGGCTGAAGTTACTGCAGATAATCATTTTAGCTATTTTTCATATATTTTTTATTTTACTTTATTAATAGAATATATTTTAAAATTTATTTTTTTCATAAATTAGCAGAATCAACTAATATAACCATTTTAGCTAGAACTTCATAAATTTGAGCAGAATCAGTCGCTTCAGTCCATTTCAATGTTACCAAATAGGCTTTAGTGTGTCAATAGTTAACCTACAATAGAATTACTACTAGTGATGTCATCGGTCTTGTCTGGATTGGATTTATGCTAAATTTTAAAAATTACTCGTCAGATCTCGATTATCATATTCAAAACCCCGATTCAAATCAAATTTAATGGATCTAATTCTGCTTTTGTAATTTTTAGCACAAACAATTGTCCCTAAAATCACCTCAAATTCAAATAACGTTATTTATTTTAATTTATTTTAATATTGTGTTACATTTAAGATACATATAAATAAATAATGTTATCATATTATATTGATTTTATATTAAAAGTAGTCATTTAAGCTTTTGACCGGTCATATCCAGATTATAGATTTTAGAGACCGTTGTTAGTGAGTCCGTACTTGGTTCGGCATGGATATTTTTTACTGGGACATCAAAAAGGAAAGTAATCCAGACCGGTGACATCTTTCAAATCAAGTCAGAGTTGGTTTCTGATTTAGGCTTTGGTTTTTTCTACCACTGGTTACTATTATGGCTGAATTTGCTGAAAGTATTAATATTTATAACTTTTGAGGTTTACCAAAAAATATTACTAATAAAAAATTCATGAACAAAAATATGATTTAGTGTACCACCGTTTATTTCTTTCACATTCCACCAAGGCTTTTTAATACCAAAAAGCCCTAACTTCATTGGCATTTATAACATTTTATTTATTATAGATAGATTGAGTGTTTAGTATAAAAATAAGATCAATTATTCGATGTCTAAGCTATAAGCCCGAAATAGAAGTAAAGTTACCCTTAAATTTAGTCATAGAAATATACTACCTCCGTTATCTTTTAATTGCAACATTAGACTTTTTGCACTATTCACATATTCTACTTTGACTATATTTTATTAATTAATGTATTATAAATTAAAATTTTAAAAAATATTACTACCTCTGTCCCTCTTATATTGGGTCGAAAGAGAGTGGCACGATTATTAAGAAAAGTGGGGTTGTGGGTTTGTGTGGTTGATATTAATTGATAAAGTAAGAATAAAGTAAGAATGATTTAGAACCACACAAACTTTGCCAAATATGGTATGAGACAATTTTAGTGGGACTTCCCGAAAAGGTAAAATGGGACAATATAAGAGGGGCGGAGGGAGTATTAAATTCTTCTCATTCTAAAATTTAAAAATATGATTTTTTAAAATTTTTTACTAATAGGGAATGAAAGATATTAATGGTCAAACTTGTACGTTGGCAAACGTGAAATGTTGTCCGTTGCAATTAAAAGGGAACGGAGGAAGTATTATTTTTATTGTCAAAATATGATAAGATACGTCCCGTCTTCCTATTCTCCACTCCCTTCAATTCCGATAATCCCTAATAGATTTAATATTGTAATAAGAAAAATATATTTTATAATACAAATATAAAAAATATAAAGTTATCATAAAAATGGGAAAAATTATATCAAATAAGAAAATTAAAATAAAAAGTAAAAATATTTTAAATAATAAAAAAAACTCAAAAAATATCAAAGAATATGTATGTCTCTGCATCCCAACACTACCAGCTACGATCAACGGAAAAAATGTCATCTTATATAAAAATGCCACATTCCTCTATAAATGTCATGAAAATAGTACTTTTACTTTTTGAAAATATCTAACTTTGCTTTCAAAATTTCCATCATGATGATCGGAGGTGGCGGTGCTGGAAGGTGCTCTAGGTTGAAGTGGTGGTTGATATTTGTATATTTTTTTGGTTATTTTTTGTTTTTTATTATTTTAATTTTTTATACTTCGTATATGTTTTAGTGAGATCACTGAAACGAAAAATTCCGATGTCAAGATTCAAATCCGGACTATTTTAGATTTTAGTAATTAAAATACATTTAATGCTTGTCTTAAAAAACTAATAATTGGAGTATCATTGTTGAATATTGATGAAGAGTTTAATTTTTTGGGTGAATATGCTTGATATCCAATGATGTGTAAGAGAAAAAAAAAATTATTTAAAAAGTATGAACGAAGACGCTCTAAAAATACAAATTTAAACCTTTTCATTTTAAAGGAATGAGGCAAGCTAATTAAGAGTCAATAATACAAGCTAAGGCTGAATATATATTTCTATAACGAACAAATCTAAACTATATGAGAATATCTCATCATTATTGTATTTTATTTTACTATTTTAAATAAACAATAATGATGATTCAAACTAATTTTATAAAGCAATAAGGTTTTTTATATCTTCATGTAAATTTACGTACGTATGTAAGAAGGTATTTTAAGTGCTCATTTGCTAACCTGTTTTTGCCCATATACCCCGTTTGTCATTTTTACCGAATACGGAGTACTAATTTTTTGTTGCGCATACTGAATTGTAAATTAATTAAAATAACCAAGAATGAAATTTTGTTTGTTGATTGAATTTGCTGAAAGTCGTGTTTTTTGCTAGATTATTTATTAATCACATAAATTTTAAATATGGAGCATAATTTTTTATATTTCAGCCAACATGATATTAATAAATTAAGAGCCCGTTTGGCGACTTTTTTTTCGGCTTATCAGACTTATCATGTACTCCCTCCGTCCCGTTGGAATGTTCCCGTTCACTATTCATTGGTCAACTTAGGTCAGTCCTAATCTTTACTTTATATATCAAATTTTTATCAAATTGAACTTTTCTTGATCAGATTTTGTAGCGGGTTTAATGTAGTTTCTGAATATGTAAATTTTATTTACTAAAAATAAGCGGAGTGTGAACGGGGATCGAGTTGTTTTAGCGTCAGTCAAGCATCGTAAACCGAACGGGAACATTCCAATGGAACGTAGGGAGTAACTTTTAACCAAACGTACGTAACTTGTGATCTCGCACGCTGAACTGTGTAATTATAAGAAAAAGTAAGATTGAAGTTACTTTTCTAGCTGTATTGGCTGAAGTTACTGCAGATAATCATTTTAGCTATTTTTCATATATTTTTTATTTTACTTTATTAATAGAATATATTTTAAAATATAATTTTTTCATAAATTAGCAGAATCAGCTAATATAACCATTTTAGCTAGAACTTCATAAATTTGAGCAGAATCAGTCGGTTCAGCCGATTTCAATGTTACCAAATAGGTTTTAAGTGTGTCAATAGTTAACCTACAATAGAATTACTACTAGTGATGTCATCGGTCTTGTCTAGATTGGATTTATGCTAAATTTTAAAAATTACTCAATAGATCTCGATTATCAAAATTAGAAAGCAGAATAAGATCCATTATATTTGATTTGAATCGGGGTTTTGATAGCCCGGTAACCCGGTTCGGTCTGAATATGGTATAGTAAGACCAATTAAAGCCTGCACGATAAAACGTTACAAATACAAATTCTGATTTTGTAATTTTTAGCACAAACAATTGTCCCTAAAATCACCACAAATTCAAATAACATTATTTATTTTAATTTATTTTAATATTGTGTTACATTTAAGATACATATAAATAAATAATGTTACCATATTATATTGATTTTATATTAAAGGTAGTCATTTAAGCTTTTGACCGGTCATATCCAGATTATAGATTTTAGAGACCGTACTTGGTTCGGCCTAGATATTTTTTACTGGGACATCAAAAAGGAAAGTAATCCAGACCGGTGACATCTTTCAAATCTAGTCCGGGTTGGTTTCCGATTTCGGCTTTGGTTTTTTCGACCCCTGGTTACTATTATGGCTGATTTTGCTGAAAGTATTAATATTTATAAATTTTAATGTTTACCAAAAAATATTACTAATAAAAAATTCATGAACAAAAATATGATTTAGTAACTATTAGTGATTGTAATTTTATTAAAAATTTATATTATAGTGATTACATATAGTCACTATGATGTAAACTTTAAACACATTTAGAGTCACTAAGGATGTTTTTAATTGGATTGTTTTCAGTCCCAGACCAGATAAGATCAAATTAGATCAAACTAGATCAGACTTGAACAATTATAGAAATATAGAGACAAGACATTTATTAGACCAGACCAGTTCAGACCACACAGACCTACAAATTTCACTTCAATTAAAAACATCCTAAAAGTTACTAAGTCACCTCTTTTTGTCTACCACGCACTTTTTGAGGAGTAATATTAATTGAATTATGTAGGATAATTTTTGTTTTCTTTATTTACTTTCTTTACATATTTTCTTTTGAATCTTTTCATATTTATGAACAATTACGGGCAGTAATTAATTGCCTAAAAAACAATTACAGTAAATGAATTCGGTGTTAATATATATATACTACTCGTTAGTTAGGATTAGTTTTTACTTTTTAGGATTTGTTCAATACGGAGTAAGCTTAGTTCATTATTGCAGTTGCCATAATTACTCGGTACGACTTACGGATTACTTCCTATTTGTGTAGGAATAATTAAGAAACCCAATACAGATAGGATCATAGGATTAGGAAAGTTTAACTTTTATATAAAGAGATCGACCTCCCCACCCTAGCTCCTGCCTTCATTCTCATAGTCATCTGCGTTTATCTTTACTGCCAAGCCTCAAGTTCCGAAAACTTGAATCACTCAATTAGCTTCTTCCATTAGATCGGATTCCTTCGGAAAACACACACATATATGGCTATGAGTCTGAACTACTGTGGGTTGATCAGTTCTTTGGAGAAGGAACTAGATGAATGGAGGAAGAGATTACAGGACCCTTTCTCTCCAGAACATATTTTGGGATTTGACAAATGTAAGCAGTGTCTTCCTTTCTCCAATTTCCTTGAATTCTATTATGTTGACATGCTTCAAAACCATTTTTAATTTCATACGGTTTTTATTTCATTTATTTATTTTATCTTGTTTATTTAGTTCGAGGAAACAACAACAACGTCGTGTGGAATCAGTTTGTTGGAGGATCATATAATTGTCGTTCATGTTATAATTATAATGATATTGCAAGGAACAACAACTACGAATATGAGTGTTTTTCAACACAGAATAGTTCAAAGGACGTATTTGTAGGCATGGCTAAAACGCATGAGGGGTCACTTGAACTTCAAAATCTAATAAAGAATGGAAATCCAAGAGATAGGCAAGAAGTTCTTGATGGGATTATTGGATGCATATTTGATGTGATGATCGATCCACATGGCCACCATCTCTTTCGAAGAATTCTTGAGTTTTGTGATTCTAGTCAGTTGGACACCATCTTTGTCACCTTGATATCACGCAAGGAGTTGCTTATCAACACATCTCTTGTGCAATACGGGTAAAAAGAATTATTAAATTCATGCATAGTTGTCTTGATAATGATTTTTCCATGTTTTACTATTCTGTTACAATCAATGTATTACTAATAGTTAAGTTCATATCACATTAATGCTATGATAGGTCAAGTGCAATTCAAAGATTTATCAAGAGACTTAAAAACACTGGGTTGGGGCAATTCGTTGCAATCATCCTTTCTATGAGATTTGTCGAGCTGATGACTAGCGAGCACGGTAGATTTGTTGTTCAGGAGTGCTTTTACACCTTCGAGGCTAAAGAAAATGAGGTTTAATTTTTTGACTAAACTTAAATCTTACGTAGTATTAGTGTCATATACTTTATACATTTAGGATGAAAGATAACCTCATCCTCCATAATCATACAATTTTCAAGATTTAGAGTATATATTTTCTAGGGAAAAAAATTAAAATAATTCAAACACTATAGACCTTGTAAGAGCATGTTATCTCACTACAATATCTCAACTTATCGACACCGGTCTTATTTACTTGTGCAATCTCTTACTTCAAAGAGGTGGCAACAACACAGTATGGATGTTCCTCCTTGAATGTTTACTTGAGTTGTATTAGCGGTGCCCAAAGACAACTATTGCTCAAAAGTATTGCAGAAAAGTCTGATTTCTTAGCCAATGATCCTTATGGGTATGTACTTTTTCACTCTTCGATTATGGATCTCAATATGATATCACAACTTTGTCACTCGATCTTCAACTAATCAATCTTGCTTTTACCTCTCTTCAAATAGGAATTATGTTGTTCAGGAAGTTCTGATGCTTAGAAACGATGAGATCACACAAAAAATATGTGACCGCCTCAAGAGGGATTACCTACGCTTAGCTTTTAAAAGAAGTAGAAGTCGTGTTGTTGAAAAATGCATAAAAGCATCAAATTATGGATTGAATTCGGTAGTTGAGAGCCTTCTCAGCAGTGAAAAGAGTTTAATGCTACTTGCTCGTGATCGATTTGGAAATTATGTTATCCAAACAGCTCTTGAGACCGCAAAGGTAAATAAATCTCAAATTAAAAATAATCTCAAATGCATTATATATCTATTGCTACTCATTAATTTTGTTATGCATTATTCTTTTTCTGCATGCAGGCAAGTAATAAAAAGCATTATGAATCTCTTGTTACTATCCTTAGGGTGCAACGCTTGGCTCTTTCTCATATCAAACTTGGAAAGCATATATTGAATCACGTAGAAGATTTGTAAAGCAATGTTGGAAATGTCTGATCCGATTTTTTCATCGATTTGTACTTATTGAAATGCAAGCCCGAAAACTCTGTTTGGAAAGTTGATTAGTTGTTATATTACTAATACTAATATTATTCGAATATGAGGCAGTTTTATTAGTTTAAGCATGCAAGTTTATACATTATGGAGATGAGTGAAATTAAAGGCTCCAACTATATAGTGGTAAGCATTTTGAAATGTCTGAAATAACCATTGTGTTAGCTTTCACTCTTTTCAGCTACAATGCTTCTTTGACACTCTATTGAGATCATTCTCTTCAAAATATTTAAAGAAACGACTCACGCAAATGAATTGAAGGTTTTGGGCTTTCTGGCTTCTTAATTTAACGGAGGCAGTCGGGAGGATTGGATAATTGTAAAATGTAGAGTACAATTATCTATTCCTACCAAGTTCCACCCACTATATTGATTTTGGAAGTAATTGTGATATTTTATGAAGTAAAACAACATACTATACATGGAGTACATACAAACTTTTATACGAAGTAGACTGTACTTCGATTTTTGACTGAACATTAACCGAAGAACCAAATAACCAGCACCGAAGAACCATTAATTCGTGCACTACTATATGATGCATCATATATATTTGCACTTTTTTGAAAGAATCTTAAATATATAGTAAAGTTTTTAAAATAACATTTTATACTAAAAATATTCAATTGTGATATAAAAAAATAAAAGGGAGAATTGGACACAATTACATTTTTAATTTTTTTTAAATTTTGTATTATGTTAGAATATTAACTCTTTAATTTTGAATTGAAAAATGATTATTTTTCCGTTGTAAATGAAGCACTTAAAATTCATAAATATTAATTTAAATTAGTCTTGATGCAAATTTTTGAACACATTGTTACATTTTTTGAAATAACATTCTTTGATTTTGTTTAACCTTAATAAAATTAAATTCACTATTTTGTAATTTTGGGGTATTTATCATCATACAAAATATGTAATTTCATAGTGCGAAGAATGCAAAAAAATAATATTTTTTTTAAATTGCAACATATATATTAGCACTTTTTCGAAAGAATCTTAAATATAGTAAAGTTTTTAAAATAACATTTTATACTAAAAATATTCAATTGTGATATAAAAACAATAAAAGGGAGAATTGGACACAATTACATTTTTAATTTTTTTTAAATTTCGAATTTATAATTTATTTTTGGTTTTTATTTTAACTTTATTTTATTAATTTAAAGTCAATAAGAATAAATATGCTCCTTTATAAGAATATGATGGATTATTTTGCACCTTTTTAAAAGTTTAGGGGTATATATGAACTTTAACATATATGTGAGGCATATATTTGTTTCAAAAAATAGAACAAGAGTATATTTGTTCTCACACTCATACTACGTACATACATTTTCCGTTTTACCAAGAATATATTTGTTTCTTGTCAAATAGTTTTACCGTTTTACCATTCTCATCCCCTTGTATGGTTCTGGTGATACAAAGATTTGAAAACATGTCTTATGGTTAAGAAAAAGGCAACCGTTTGAGGTTATTTAAAAAAACTGTAACATTGGCATTGGTTTCAGTATTGGTAGCAAAAATCAAGTGATATTTATTTGATCTAAATCAAGTCTTATAGCACTCGGTTTAGTTTATTGGACTAGGAGTACAAAATATACTACCTCCATTCCCAACAACTTAATTATGTTTACTTTTTTGTATACTCACTGGGTCACTCCATTCCTAAGAGCTTTAATCAATCATAAACGATAGTATTATATTTGTATACGATCTTATTTACTCCGTATAATATAAAATTTTCCTTTATTAAAATATACTACAAATTAATTTTCACAAAAATTTGCATGTTTCACAAAAAAAACCCCGTATTAAGTAAAATCATTGGTCTTAAATACTACTCCGTATGTATTAAACGAATATTATACAAATGAATGTATTATAATTTTTTTTAAATATTGTTAAATTTCACTAATTTTAAATTTTCAAAATCTGCTTTTCTAATTTTTTTATTGAAGAAAGAAATACAGTAATGATCAAATTTGTGTATTGCCAAATGTGAAAATTGGACACGTACTTTTAAAAAAAGTGAGTACTTTTAAAAAGGGAAGTTCCTGAAATAGGACTAAAACAGTTTCAAAATTTCAAAATAGGATTGTCATGTTTTTATTCCCATAATAGGACTAATTACTGTCATGTTTAGAAAATATTGCCATGTTTGAAGTCTGGTACTGCCTAAACATGGTAGTAAGTAGACCTATTTTGGGAATAAAAACATGACAGTCATATTTTGGAATTTTCAAACCGTTTTAGTTCTATTTTGGGTCATATCTCTTTTAAAAAATGACAAAAAAGTGATTAATAAGTACTCCAAAAATTTTATGTCACTATGTTCGTTTTTCATGTCACTGAGAGTGGTCACCGCCAAATCTTTTCACGCCAATTACACCGCCACCGCCACAGTGACATCGTCATAGTGACGCCGTCACAGTGACATCCACAACCTCCTGCCATTGATTACCTCAGTGACGATGCCACCGCACAGTGACATCACTAGCGCCAGATGTACTGAACTCCGCCCTGCCTCTTTCGGTTAGTGCCACCACTGCCATTTGATCACGATGGCCGCCGCCGGACCTTCCGGCAACTCCCCCCGCACAACCATTTCCCTCCCCAGCCCCCCTCACAAACCCTAGTCCAGCCCCGATGCAATCCTTCCCCTGTCCCAACCCGACCACCACCCTCCCCGACTCCCCCTCCCAGCCTGGTTAACAAGACCACACCCTGCTCCTGCAGCAACGACATCCCACCACCACACCACACCCCTACGCCAGCCGCACCCCTCCACTGCATTCTGCCCCCAATCCACCGCACACCATGTACTGCCGCAGCCCCAGTTGCAGACCTTGTCCTGACCAAGTTCCACCCACACTTTTTTTTACAAGATTTTAGATTTTAAAAATATTATTACTAGTACTATGTAGTAAATTAAAACATATAGATTGAAATGAGACTAAAGTTACTATGAGTATACCATTGTGATCACTACAATACGGAGTATAAAATTGAACACAATCATGCTCATTAAAATTACTATCATAGTCTCTAGTGTATAATAAGTTACATTTGTATCCACTATATTCATTTTGGTCATATATTTGAAACTATTTCTTAGAGTAATTGTGATATTTTATGAAGTAAAACAACATACTATACATGGAGTACATACAAACATTTATACGAAGTAGACTGTACTTCGATTTTTGGTTAACCGACTTATCACCGATTAAATAACTGACCATTAACCGAAGAACCAAATAACCAGCACCGAAGAACCAAATAACTAGCACTTTTTAATATAATGTGTGATAACCAACGACCTACTGATAACCTATTTTTTCGGTCGGTTCGGATACCGGTTTTCAATATTATCGGGGTTGACGGTTATTTGCTCACCCCTACCACTCCCTTAGAATGCTCAAGTTTGAATTTAACTTTTGGATCAAAAACTTGGCATTCAATTCTAAATGTACACGCTTTTCGTGTGTACATGCCTGACGCCTCTACCATTTTTGTATCGAGAGCATTTTGTCTATATCATAGATAATTCATCTGAAAAGTACAGAACTTCTCTGAAATATTGTATTAAATGTCTGTTACACAGAAAAAGTGTGCATAGGCGCAAAAATTCCATAGAAATGTTGTGAAGATAAAGAGAAAATAATATAAAATGAATAATGTAGGTAACAATTACTACCTCCGCCCCATGCACTAACGTTGGACATGAAAAAGTGGTGCAATTATTAAAAAAGTGAGTGTATGTGTAGTTGATATTGAATTAACAAAGTAAGGATAAAGTAAGAATGATTTAAAACCAGACGTACTTTATCGAATTTAATTTGGTTAGAACATCTTAGCAGGAAGGTCCGAAAATTAAAGATGTGACAATCTTAAAG